GGTTTGGGGGGATGGGGGTGGGGTGGGGTTTGGGGTTTTTTTTGGTGCGAATTTGTTACCCTTATCCACAACGATGACCACAGATAGCGTCGACAAAACATTAATAATTATGTATAATTGTCATGATAGCGTATACGAAACACATGAATAGTTATGTATAATTGTCACAATAGCGTATATATGAAACACATAGTAATTAATTGTGACGATAGCGTGTATAAATCACATGAATAATTATGTATAATTGTCACGATAGCGTATACGAAACACATAGAAAGAGTTATGTTTCACTGTGACAACAGGACTTGTGCGTGAACTATGGAAAGTGCATCGTCTTGTTTTACGTGTCTGACTTGTTGGATGGGTTGAGGTGGTGAGTGAGGGAAACACTCGGGCGCTTTGGGCGCTCATCTCACCGAGTCCTGGCCAGTACAGAATCGCCGCGGAGGTCACTCCACACTGGACGTGTTCACACCTCACTGTTTCCAAAAAAATTCTTGACAAGGTGAATATTAAGTTGCAGGCCTCATTTTCGGCTCAGATAATGTTTAGTTGCGGTAAAACGCTTATAAAAAAAACAAAAAAAACCTCCCAAAGATAGTACTTCATTTCTCCTCTTATGTAATACTTATAACATTACTAGGTTATATGTAAAACTTTTCTCACAAATGTTGAAAGTACCCTACTACTATTTTCTAGTTGGGAAAACATTACTGATGACTGAATGTGGTGAGGAAATAATAGATAAAAAACTATTTCTTGTTTCACAGAAGTCTGAAATATGAGGACTCGATCTAGATAGAATCTCTACAAGCTACTTAATTGTTATGATAGTTTTGCAAAGTTTTCTGACATCCATAGAAGAACCTAGATCTAGATAGAATCTCTACAAGCTACTTAATTGTTATGATAGTTTTGCAAAGTTTTCTGACATCCATAGAAGAACCTAGATCTAGTTTTTAAAAAAAAAATAAACAAAGGGAAAATGACATTGGGCCTTCTGTAGGCCACCAAAGTGAAAGCAGTTTTTGATGTACGTATTTTAGAAATCCTCTTCATTTCTGGTTAGGAAAATGATGAAACTAAATGTTCGTACGCTAATTTTAGTAGTACATTACTAGATCGTGATCTCGGAGGAAAGCGAAATCCCGATCCCGATCGCGTCTGTGCAGGGAACAGTGAGGTGAGGTTGTCACGGGTATGTTCAGAGCCAGGGCTTGGGGCGTTCGTTGCGCGTCTGTTGTTGTGTGTGCGTGCGTCTGTTGTTGTGTGCGTGGTGGAGATCACGTGGTGTGGAGGGGGAGAGTTTGGACAAACGGGCAAATAAATGTGGATGGTGGATGCCGCGAACGTGCCAGGTTCTTCCGATGTGTCATAAATTAATTTTTACTGTGTGCTATTGTTTGTTGTTGTGGAAGTGGACCTCCTTCCATTTTCTCGATTTTGTTTTAAGTTTATGTACGGTACTCGGTACTGCTAGTTTTACTGACTTCAACATAAGTTAAGGACCACTTGCAAACACTCTGAGTGGTTTTCTTGGGTCGACCTGCATGTGGGCGCTCTTGGACTGATCCAGTGGCTTGATGGCGCTGCCTGAAGCGGACAATGACAGAGTGTGACACTGCAAGCCTTCTGGCAACTTCTCGGCCCCAACTCCATCCTGCAGCCATGCCTTTGCTCTGGCACGATCAAAGTCTCTCAGTTTTCGTCTTGGTGGCACGTTGATGTGGTACTGGATTTTGAGCAAACAGAGGCTTATAATACTTATATTGCCACCAAAGTGAGCACAGTTCGCGACCGTGCGTCCGTTTATCACGTGCACCAGAAATTTAAACTGAGGAATGTCCCTGGTGTCGCACACAAGTCGATAAAAAAACAACAAATATGGCTGAAATTCCCCGAGGATTTCTCTGCAGCACGTGGTGGTTTTGCCCCTTTAGGAAGCTCTGCAGTACGCACTGGTAACCCGTTAACACTTTCAGAGCAAAAAAATTTGAAACATTCCTTGCTGTCTTTTTTTTGGATTAAAAAAAAAGTCCGGGCTATCTGTCAAGGTGGTCGTTAACTTATGTTGAAGTCTGTCGTTTTCACACTGTTTCTTGAGGTGTACATTATATGGAATTCTATTGTTTCTTTTTTTTAAACTTCCAGTTCTTCTCATTTGTTTTTTGTTTTGTGCCTCACAAAAACAAAACAAAAACAAGAAAAAAGAATTGATTGTGTGTGATGCTGACAGAAAGAGAGCTGGGGATCAGGTCTCCACTAGAGGATTTTTGTTTTATTAATGAATTTTGTTTGTTGTGGTAGCGAGTTGTGCAGGTCTCAGAGTAAAGACTGTCACAATATAGAGGCCTATACAGTCTAGCATGCACATAGGGAAATTGGTGGGAAGGGGAAATCTTCTGTGGGTGGTTGACAGGTGCTCTGGTGTGGTTTGCTTCTCTTTCCTATCAAACACCTATCGTCTTTACTTTATCTACCCTCCTTCTTTTTTGTGCTTGTTACTCTCTTGTAACACCTCTAATCTTCGTTATTTATACGACCTCATTGTGTTGCCAGTACCGTAAAACTCTTTTACTAAAACGAAACAAAAGAAATCTTTTCGTTTTTGTGGGAATTTCGTTATGATGAACATGTTTTAATTGCAAACAATAATCACGTGTAAGAAAATTTGGGACCTGAAAACCTGTTTGTTGTGTGTGTGTTCGTGGCGCGTGTGTGTTCGCTACGTGTGTGTGTTCGCTATGTGTGTGTGTTAGCTACGTGTGTGTGTTCGCTATGTGTGTGCTAGACTGTAACTTGTAAGTCGACCCCACAACTCGCCTGTGACAGACTGTGACAAATCGTTGCGGTGTGGGATCGTTCTCGAGGGCCACCTTGCAGCATTGAATCCCAACTTTTGGCGGAATATTGTAGGGTGGAAATATGTATAACGTTGACAAGCTGTTCAAATGTACGAAGCTCAGAAAGCAAAAGTCTTCACTTTTTGTTCCCTGGCTTTCTTCCAATATACGGGTGTGTGCTGAAATGTTGGTGCTGAGATGTTTGCTGTGTGTGTATATGTGTGTGTGTGTGTGTGTGTGTGTGTGAGTGAGAGAGAGAGAGAGAGGGAGAGGGAGAGAGAGAGGGAGAGGGAGA